GCTGACAAGTCAATGAAACTCACCATCTTCTTCACTCATGCTGTTTACGTACTACTAATCTGTGAAATATAATGCGATCTTGCTAGTTTTAATTATGTTTTAATCTAGAAACATGTGCATGTATGTATTTGTGGGTGATTTTGTGACTTCATGTGTGCGTGTATATATGAATAGACAAGAGAAAGTTTAAAACAATTACAACAGGATGTAATATCTGTCCTCAGTCATCAGGTTTTAATTAACTTTTATTTTTTTGCCAATTTTCGCTCTGATTCCATATTGTTGAGCTACCTCTGGTCAATATGAGATGTATTCACCCAATTTCGGAGAATATCTCAGTTATATATCGTGAACTGATTTTCTCTTTCGAAGGAAAAGTTGTTTGGAATGAATTAATGAAATGGTCTTACCAGAAAGCAACGGAGATTTGCCGAAGAGCGAAGTTTGTTAGATTGTGCGAAAAGCTCATCGGCTCACAGTCTTGCCAGTCGAAATTATACAATCATATGCTATTTTATTTGCATAATGCAACAGACTAGCATAGGTTCATCGGAGGCGGATGACAGTGAGCCAAGAACCTCTTGTTACAATTACGCAATCTTCACTTTGCGAAAGTTCTACTTCGCTTTCTGGTGAGACCATTTCTCGAATTTCCTCCAACCAACTTTTACCCAGAAATGGAAATTCATGTCACAAACCAGCATATTTTATATGCACAAAACAAGCAATACCACAATTCACAAACGGCTATAATCTCGGTTGTGAAGCCCTTCTAATGCTTCTATCAAAGAATGGGCCTAGGCCAAAACAGAAGTTGGAAATTAAAATGAGAATATCATTTGTCGACAGTTTACTCTCTCTTGTTCTCCACACGGCAGTCCCGATATGGCCGAGATGGCGGACACCTTCACGGGCACCGGAGTCACCGGATCCAGGCAACTGCTGACGACTTTCACGAATTCACCTCTCTGGCCGCCAGAAGCGGCCAGTTGCCGGGCCACTTGAAGCCAGAAGAGTGCGTTAAATTTCGTCTCACCACTTGCCCACTCGGACGGACGACAGGCTGACTCGAGTTCGTGCTTTAGGCTTGTCCAGACCTCTGTTCTAATGAACTCAACATTGTCATGGCAACCATGGTCGCCAGCATCGTTATCTCGGTTGCCTGACTCGAACCTGCAGAATGCACCGATCTGGTTGGCAAGGACTCGCCAGATCAGCCGATACTGGCGGTCGGTCAGGTTTTGATCGGTGCTGTTTGTCTGACGAAACTTGTGAGCTAGCACCTCGAACCAGCTCCTCAGTTGTCTGCAGAATGACAGAACTCAATGAATAACTTTAAAAGCATCTTCAGATTATGATCAATTCATGTACACACTTTTATTGAAATTAACATACACGATATTATGTTATTATCTCATAAAGGCAACATGAATATCAAAGAATTTGGCCACCTAATCGCTTATCAGCACCTCGTCTATTTTTCTTAGTTCATGATCAAAGAAATAATGCTATAATAATATATATATATATATTAACGTACATTATAGTATGCTTTATATTTTTAGTGCATAGTGTTAGTGGAAAATGGAATAAAGTATATGAATTGGAACGTTTTAAGATATTTTTGGTCTTTGTGATGATGTCGTCTGCTCTCATTGAGCAGATTATGCCTGAATCATGTATAAAGTCTAAATTCGCATTTAATGAGTTGCAGTACAATCTGCAGATTAGTTGAAAAGAAAGTTGGCTATCACCGTTTCATAATTCTCTCGTTTGATGAGCAAATAGCTCAGTTT